GCGGGAGGGCGGGTTGGAAGAGCAGCGAGCCCCGCCGGGTGCGGCAGCGCCGGTGTCCCCGGGAGCTGCACCCGGGGCTGCCCGCGCCGGGTCTCGCCTCCCTGCCGGTGTTTGTCCCCTGCCGTGCTCTGTGCTTTCCTTCACGTTCCCCCGCTGGCCGGAGAGCCCTGCGGTTCCCTTGCTGGGGCTTTTCCCAGTAAATAAACGCAACAGCTCGTAGACAGAACGTCCCTTCCTGACCTCTGCCAGCAGTAGTGGAAGGGCAGGAAAGAGGAAGCAGCGAAGCTCATCCCGCCCCGTGCGGATCAGGATCAGCTCCCTGCCTCCCGCCCGTGCTCCCGGCGCTGGGCCACGGGGAGCAACAAGTTAGGCCTGTTTAGCATGGGAAAGGATGAGGTTTTACCCTGGGAAAGGGAAAGGGAGGAAAAGCAGTCCGTGTGGATCCCATGAATGATGCTTCCCTGCTCTTGCTCCATCTCTCGAGCCCGAGGCTCTGTCTGAGCAGCCCTGGAGTGAATGTCCCCGGATGCCACGCAGAGGGAGCCAGGCTGGTCTGGGGGCTGCTGCAGCTTTGGAGGCAGCACAGGCTCTGCAGTGCTGTGGGAAGTGAACACATAACAGGGTCTGTTTTTCGAGCCACCACTGCATGTGAAGTGCCTGGGCTGGGTGCAGCAAGAGAGGGCTGTGAGGGATGCCAGGACACCCCATAACCCAGCTGCCAGCAGTGATCTGCCAGGGGGCTCCAGCCCTGTCTCTGGTCAGAGCCATGCTGTGCTTGGCAGCAGATGCTCTCCCAGTGAGGAGCCAAGTGCTGTGGCAATGCAGCAGCCTTGTGCTCCTGCCCCAGTGAGGGGGGACAAGGTCTGGTGTCCTGCCTGGTTTGGAGGTTGCTGAGGGATGCCATAGCCCAAGGAGTGTTTGCGGGCTCTCACCCCAATCCAGCCCCAGCTTCCTTAGATGACAGGCAGGACTGAGACCACAGGCTTGCCTCCATGCTTGGACAGCTTGCCTTCGCCTTGCAAGGTAAACTTCTTTCTCCCTCCATCTTTCCCCCTGTGCCCCCTGAAAGCCAGGTGGGATTTCAGCATGTGTGGTCCAAGCCCCTGCAGTGGGGCCAGGCTTCCCAAGAGCCTGTTGAGTGCCAGCACAGGACTGGAAAAGCCAGCTCCCCCCTGCCAAGCCTGTGCAGGATGGGCAGGCGTAGATCCTTTCCAAAGTGCAGAGCTCACCCAAGCCCCGCAGGCAGACTTGGATGGGTTTTTTTGGCTGGGGATCTTACCCCACAGGCTGACGCACTGCGTTTCCATCGGTGGTGGGATGCATCCCAGCTCTGTCTCTCTGGTGGGAATGCACCCAACTTGTATTTTTGGCTGGCATGTGTGCTGCCCCAACATGTGCAAGGAAAGGCAGGAACCCCAATCTCAGAAGGATCCCACACTGATGAAGAACCACCTCCCACAAGCTTTGTCCCTGGCCAGCACATTAAACACCCTCCCTACTTATGCCCCGTTTGAGGCGGTGTCTGCAGTAACGGGTTGTAGCCCTCAGAGCTGGACCAGCAGGGATCAAGTGGTGGCGGCTGCTGCCATTCCTGCCTGGCCAGCTGTGACAGACACACTCAACCCCCTGATCAAACCCGTGGCAGCGTGGGCCAGGCTCCTGAGCCATAACCAGACTGAGAAGTTCTCAGTTCCAGTCTGCTCTCGGTAACAGCGAAAGGGGCAGTGACACAGTGAGCACCCACGTGTGCAAGCCTGGAGCGCCCATCATGTGATTAACGTGAACAGCAGGTGGCTTTTCGAAGGCCGATGAAGGAACGAAGCTGTCGGTACAAGGGACCTCGTGCACCTTTCCCAGCGCAAGGGATTTGCCTGAGCCAACCATGTCGAGCCCCCCGGGCGCCCAGCCCCGCCGTGCGGCCGCACCACCGCCCCGCCAGCCGGGACCGTTTCCCCACGGC